TTAACCTTACATGAACACGCCAAGCACTATAACCACTGCAGTGGTTTTATAATGGTTTGATAACCTAACTGGGGTACAAGGGCCAGAAGCTGTGGTGGTACAGTGCTTACCTTATTGGCTGAGAGTGATCAGCCGACGCTCTCAGCCAATGAGCTGGCTGATGCAAAACGGTTTAGCTCAGGAGAGCTAATATAAACTCCATGCAGCCATAAGGGAGTGACCGAGTTAAGGAGTAAAACCGTTAGCAAATGGGGGAGAGGGCCCACTGTAGTGGTTATGGTATTCAGAGTTTTATTTTAATTTTGTTATTTGGATTTAATTTTGCTACTGTCTGTTTAGTTAATATATCCGCGTGAAGTTCCCCCTTTGGCCTTCAGGGCTACAGTCACATGGGAGTTTTTAAAATTTCTCTAATTTACTTGTAATTTGCTGATTCCCTCTGCTATTTGTATTAGTTACTGTGGGCTGCATTAGAGACGTATTGCCCTGAGAACCTGGCGCCGAATGCAGTTGTCCAGTCGTGCATGAAATAATGAGCACATTAAATAGATAACGTGTTTTGCTATTCAATAGCCCTCCTTTTAATATCACATTAAATAACACGCAATGCATCATGTTAATAGGGATTGTAACATCTCTAGCTGTGTGGGAGCCTCAGGAAGGACAACAAAGGAGGATAAATGTGCAGATTATGGGGTTCCGATCGTGTAGATAGAGGTCACACAGTGTTTAACTATATCCCGGCCAAAAATTCTAGTGATGCATCATTAGGGACGCTGTATCCTCCATGTATTCTAGGCTTGTATCACTAATATAAATTGACAAACAACATATGGAAATCGCCACCCTGCAGTATGTAGAAGTCAGATGCTGCAGGTCGTAAATCAGGGGATAAACCAATCGGATATCCTGCATAAATTCTACATACTACAGGAGATCAGTTTCATGCGCTGCTTATCAACTTGATATAATTATGTGCATCTAGGACATATGGTGGATCTAGCAACCCCAACATGATGCATCGCTTACACACTGGCAACTAAATGGTTAATTGAGCCCCCCCACCCCCTCCCCTCGTTTAATTTTTGTTACTGTCCCCAGTGAGAGATATCTATGCATCCGGCATAGAGGCTGCAGAATGATGTCAAAAGCGCAGATAAGCCAAGAAAAAAAATACTACATCTAAAGAAGAAAAATGCAATTAAATAGCCTTACAAAAAAAGCTGTAGAAAAAAAAAGAAAAGAAACAAATCAATATCTTATTTAAACAGGCCGGACCTTGTCTGTGTATCAATGAGACAGCAATGTCTGTATGTATCTATCTTCCTGCTGTGACTGCTAAATGTAAAGATTAACTCGATGGCTGCCAGCGGGGGGCGTGGAGCACTGAGTGGCATTGAAAGGGTTAGTTTAAGCCAGCTGTCTGGTGTCACACACTGCCCTTTAGTGACGCAGGGACCTGGCTTTACGCGATAAACTGGGAATTACAGATTTTTATTTTTAACAGTCGAGCCGTGAAAATAGCTGAGTTTAAAGAATATTTCCTAATTTTTCTTTTTTGACAGAAATCGGGCAGTTTCCCGGTCAGTTCCACACAATTCAGTTTGGTGAATAAATGTCAGTCTCTCTCTCTCTCTCTCTCTCTCTCTGTCTCTATCTGTCTCTATCTGTCTCTATCTGTCTCAAACTCTTTTAATTTGTCTCTTTTTCATTTTATCGGATTTGTCTTGTCTGCTTTTAATATGATTTCTCCAGTCTCTGCTTTATATAAAACAAATTTCACCATCCACCTATTTCATTTCTCCTTTTGGACTAGATTCGGTACGGAGTGCATAGAAGTCCCTAAACCCCAGCTCATAGTTGCTTTTAGTCTATACGTATATTTAAAAGTTCCTTGTTAGTGTCCGGCAGTCGGCAGAGCACCTAAAGCACCATTATATGAGCACTCTCAGCTGTTTATATATTTCGATATTTCATACAGCCCATTGTAAGTATGAGTGAACCTAGATTTTGTAATTGGGTTAACTTTTCACCATTTTCAGTTAGCAATGTTCAGAGTTAGAAGTGAGCATTCCGCAGCATAAGAATCTAGGGATTTATTTACCAAACATATTGTGATGAATTGCAAACTGACTAAATACCCGATTTGCCCAGGATATGCCCAGTATTTATTGCTGCCCTGTATAAGGAGGAAGAAGATAGGTGGAAATAATTTTACACTCATTGACAGACACACACTCTCATATAGACTGACAAACAATGACATACACAAACACTCACTGATTTGACACACTCTTACAGACACACACTATTACTCAGACACACACTGACAGACTCATACTCACTGACAGACACAGACACACTCACTGACAGACACACACACACACTCACTCACAGACACAAACACACTCACTTACAGACACCCAACACTCACAAATTATTATTATTTTTTACATTTTAAGCTGGAGTGGATTACTTACCTGCAGTCCAGTGGGGCTGCTGCGCGGGCAGGTACGGGGTGGACAAGCAGAGTAGGCAGCGACGGAGCTCTAATCTTCCTGTTCAGCTCCTTCGTGCGCAGCTTAGTGATGCCGGGAGCCAGAGTGACGTCATATTCCGGTTTGTGGCTTCATAAAGCGGCATGCTCCCTCGCTGCCTGCTGTGATAGAAGCTGCCGCCCGCCTTGGGGGGCTTAAAAGTGGCCAGCCGGCCAGCTCTTGAGCCCCCAGGACACAAGGCAAACAAAGCATCTGTCTGGACGTTTGGGGCGGCTTTTTTTGCCTGCCCCGGCAAAGTGCCACCCAAGGCAAATGCCTTGTTTGCCTAGTGTAAGATACATCACTGACTGGGCTGTCTTACTGAAGAAAAGAATAAGTGTGAAGCTAGGTGTGAGTGCTCAGCGTTGTGTGAAGCTAGGTGTGAGCACTCAGCATTGTGTGAAGCTAGGTGTGAGCACTCAGCGTTGTGTGAAGTTAGGAGTGAGCACACAGCACTGTGTGAAGCTAGGTGTGAGCACTCAGCGTTGTGTGAAGTTAGGAGTGAGCATTCAGCACTGTGTGAAGCTAGGAGTGAGCACTCAGCGCTGTGTGAAGCTAGGTGTGAGCACTCAGCACTGTGTGAAGCTAGGAGTGAGCACTCAGCGCTGTGTGAAGCTCGGTGTGAGCACTCAGCGCTGTGTGAAGCTAGGAGTGAGCACTCAGCGCTGTGTGAAGCTCGGTGTGAGCACTCAGCGCTGTGTGAAGCTAGGTGTGAGCACTCAGCACTGTGTGAAGCTAGCTGTGAGCACTCAGCACTGTGTGAAGCTTGGTGTGAGCACTCAGCGCTGTGTGAAGCTCGGTGTGAGCACTCAGCGCTGTGTGAAGCTAGGAGTGAGCACTAAGCACTGTGTGAAGCTAGGAGTGAGCACTCAGCGCTGTGTGAAGCTAGGTGTGAGCACTCAGCACTGTGTGAAGCTCGGTGTGAGCACTCAGCGCTGTGTGAAGCTAGGAGTGAGCACTCAGCACTGTGTGAAGCTAGGAGTGAGCACTCAGCGCTGTGTGAAGCTAGGAGTGAGCACTCAGCGCTGTGTGAAGCTAGGAGTGAGCACTCAGCGCTGTGTGAAGCTAGGAGTGAGCACTCAGCGTTGTGTGAAGCTAGGTGTGAGCACTCAGCACTGTGTGAAGCTAGGTGTGAGCACTCAGCACTGTGTGAAGCTAGGAGTGAGCACTCAGCACTGTGTGAAGCTAGCTGTGAGCACTCAGCACTGTGTGAAGCTAGGAGTGAGCACTCAGCGCTGTGTGAAGCTAGGTGTGAGCACTCAGCGCTGTGTGAAGCTAGGTGTGAGCACTCAGCATTGTGTGAAGCTAGGAGTGAGCACTCAGCACTGTGTGAAGCTAGGAGTGAGCACTCAGCACTGTGTGAAGCTAGGTGTGAGCACTCAGCACTGTGTGAAGCTAGGAGTGAGCACTCAGCGCTGTGTGAAGCTAGATGTGAGCACTCAGCGCTGTGTGAAGCTAGGTGTGAGCACTCAGCACTGTGTGAAGCTAGGTGTGAGCACTCAGCACTGTGTGAAGCTAGGTGTGAGCACTCAGCATTGTGTGAAGCTAGCTGTGAGCACTCAGTATTATGTGAAGCTTGGTGTGAGCACTCAGCACTGTGTGAAGCTAGGAGTGAGCACTCAGCACTGTGTGAAGCTAGGTGTGAGCACTCAGCATTGTGTGCTCACTCCTAACAGGAGTGAGCACTCAGTGTTGTGTGAAGCTAGGAGTGAGCACTCAGCACTGTGTGAAGCTAGGTTCTCAGTATTCTTTATTTTGTTGTTTTTTGTTTAAATAATAATTAGTGCTAGTTAGTTTTGCTCTTTCAGTCCCCCACTATTCTCTCCCCACGCGTTCCTCCTGCCTCAACCTTTTTTACTTCATAAATATCAGTCACCATGCGTGTAACCAGTCTGGTGAGAGCTCATTGCAACCCTCTTACAGCTGGAGTTTTGCAGGAAATGCAAATACTTCAAATGTCGGAATTCTTTTTATAACTTACTATTTTTACATATATTGTTAATTCACTCTGTAAGTCTGGTACTGTATATTCATGTAATTGTGCTCTTTGACCAGATTTCACAATCCACTATTCTGTTACGCGTGACGGAGCCGTCGCGTTTCTTACTTGCAGCACAAACGATGGGAGAGATCCTTCCACTGCGTCGTTTTAATCCACAAAGTTTTTTTTCTTTATATAATAAACAATCTTTTATTCAACACACTTTCCTTTCACACACTTTACTGTGATGCATGAAAGCCTTTTTAACAACATACCTGCCTGTAGGAAAGTGGGTCGATCAATGATTGCGTCACTTTCAATAACCCCTGGTGCATAAACATAGCTAACCCAAATCATTTTTTTTATGTCAGAGTGGCAGCAGCGTGTTCATTTATTGGAACCTGTTTACCTCTTCTCTCTGCTACTGTGTTATTCATTCTGTCTTCTCTGATTGTCTTGTTCCATTTATTTTGTGATCCCCAATAAACTTCCCATTGCCCTCACCTTGATCTCTACATTTCCTGCCCGTTCTGTCCCATTCTTCTTGCCGTTCTCTAACCCTCCACCCCCTCCCGATTCTGGCCTGCTTCCTCTGTAATCCTTCATAGCGGCACATCTCCTCCAGATCGATATTCTGTGCTCCCACTCTCCGCAAGGGGCCCTCGGGTTTTGTACTTAGGCCGTGGGAGACCATTCAAAACATTTTCTTTCTTTTCCACGTGGCTCCCGACTGTTCTTTCCAAAACTTTACGCAGGCGATGGAAGCTTAGAAAAAAACAAAACAATTAAAAATGGAAATGATTGAATATACATTATTAAGCATTTTATTTTAAAATCTGCATCCAGAGGTTTCGGCAATACTGGAAAAGCCCAACCCTTAGGCCCCCGTAGGAGGCAATTGATTTGAAGGTAACAGGTGTAAAGCACAGTGTCAGATAATTTAGGGACTTTGATGTAAAAGAAGAAATCCTGTGATACCATCATTTATTTACTAAACAACCATACGTACTGACTTGGGAAGCAAATTTATGCCAGAAAAAAGACTGCCCCGTTAGCAGAATTGGATATTTTTTTATCAACTTGGACATATCACTAAATGTTGTAAGTTTGATCGCAAGTCATTAGAATGTGCTTTTTACTAAATACTCTCTTCATTGCCATATCAGGAGCAACCACTATTAAAATCAGTGGAATAAAACTGCCAGTTGTTTTTCCTGTAACATCTTTCTGTAGATGTTTATCTGAGCAACGTTTGGATGTAGATGTGTCACCATGGCTATGTAGGCAAACCAGGACCACTTTGTGGATTACCCATAATGCCTTGCTTAGAATACTCATGGTGAAGTAGCAGGAGATCTCTACCTCCAGTGAAAAAGATCTCCTTCCCTGCTTCCTCATGCATCTCCACTTGGATTGAGACTAAAGCTGAGGGGGTATAATGCTTTGCATCACTGTCCTCACTTGCCTTCCTCTCTCACCAAAGGTCACACTCAAGCCCCGAGCATCATCGGGCTGTAAAGTCAGAACATCATCTCCTATAAACAGAATGCTTTCTATCAGTTCTGGAGAAATGGTTCATAAACTCCCTAAGTCTTTTTAAGCCTTGAAATTATATTTTGCAATGAGAAGAAGCCATGTGACAGGCTGAAGCTAATCCTTCGCAGGTTCCTTGGTTTAAAATAAACATCATCGTATCAAAGAATCTAAATATTATGTCAACTTAGCTTTTGCCAGGAGTCAAGATGACGTTATTACTTCCTTCCCTGGTACTCATTGGGAAGAAGAACTGAACTAACCAAGAATTTAACCTATAAATCATAGATATTGTAGTAGGAGCACTAACCAATGAGCTCTCCGTTACTCTTTGCTAGTTCTGACTGGTGTATTTATAAATTCCAGGCTAGTTGGTGATAATTCGTGGGGTACATGATTCAGTGAAATGTAAATGAGAAGTTCATCATATTTAACATTATAATACATTTAAAGTTATATTTGTGGATGTAGGACGTGATCTGATCCACTGAAAAATGCACCATTCACCCAATCAATCCCTCCGCCAACAGGTGTCTCACCTCATTCTATATTATCTCCTTATCTTAACTCAAATTATGCAATTTATTGTTTTGGCCGACAATAGTCTAAGCTGTCTCTTTCTTTCACATTTTACTTTCTCCGATATTATTTGCTATATTTATTTTTTATTTAATTATGCATTTCTAATTAATGCAACAGCAGCCACAAAAGAACAGACAGCAGTATGGCATTTAAAAAAAAAAATACACCGTTCACAAAAAGGTCAGTGGGTCATGACTTAATTTTCCAGGAAGCTCTTTAACAACGCTACTGAATTTGATTGGACAACAATTCCCAGAATTCTGTACCAGATATGAAGAATTATAGGAATTGGAGTGCAACCACAGATAGGGGGTGGAGGGAGGACATTGCTTCTTAAACCTGATCTAGTGAAACATTAGCAGTGATGTCAATAGGCAGGCAGAGCTAATGTCACCAAGAATTGCTTTTTTGGTTGTGTATTCCACCCAGGGAATTCTTTTATTAGAATAAATATTTATTTTTAGGTCCCCTTGGGAAATCAAAGCGTGAGCCGAGGTTAACTCGTTTTAGGGAACACAGTATGTTATTGTATGGGAAGAAAGAACAGATATTTAGTTGTGTTTGCATTTTTGGGCAACAATAGAGTTAATCAGGAACAGATAATTAAAAACAAAAAAAAAAATCGCAATAAATTAAAAATAGATGCAACCGAAAAGAAATTGCAGAAGAAAAAATGTGATAGCAAGAGACAGCTTAGAATATTGTCGGCCAAAAATAGAATATAGACGATGAGAAAATAGAGAAATGGATCCAAGATGGGAGTATTGAATGAGGGTTTAAGGGGGATCGGTGCTACAATGTCTGTTAGTAGGGGCATTGATTCCATTTTTGTTGCAGTTTTCACATTTTTCCAGATTGTAAAGTCCAGCATCCTTACAATCCTCTCGGGAGATTATTTAATAAACTTGTTCAAACTTGATGAATTTATGAATCTATGCTACATGGACCGTAAAGCTGAACTTAAATGTTGGATTCAGATGTTCTAAGATTCATTAAAGGAACATGCCGCCTACATAAATACTCCAGCTTGCTAAGTGCATTGAGGGCCTGGAGTCTGTCACAATTAAAGTGCAGATTTCAATACAAACGCACTCTTAGAATTGTAAGCATACGCTCCTCTCTTGCTGCCAATGAGACTGTCTGGGAGGTTTTCTTACGTTTCCATTAGCTCCACATATTCATCAGAAAGCCTTGATCTTGTGCATGCGCCCTTGTGGCACTAACAGCTTTTGCAAGCTGATTTAAGATATACCCCAAAGTTTCAAAAAAAGCGCAGAAGTAAATGCGTGAATGTATTCATTGTGGATATGTCTACTATATAGTCATTTTTTTTAGGGAGAGGGTGGGTGGGGGTAATGGAGTTTCCTTTAAACCTAATTATCCATTAGTTGTTTTTTATATTCTTTTTACGTTTTTTTTTTATTTGTTCTAATTATAAATGGAAACAAATAATCAGTTCAATTTAAGGCACGGGAAGGCATTTCACGTAAACAATGTTTAGTGCCTTGGTTTCTTGGGGATATGTGAGTCCAATCCTTTCTATTTGCATTTGGGAGCGTTAACAGTGTCCAAATGCCTGCTGGTCTGAGTATTACCTATCTGAGGGCAGTGTTAAATTACCTTGGGTGCAACTTATCAAATGGCATGTAGTCACTTTCTTGCAGTGAATAAAGTTAATTGGATGCATTGTCATTTATAAAATGCATTGAGTCGATTCAAGACACTCTTATATAGTGTGTCTGATAGAAACAGTCTCGCTCATATGCTGACTGTCATTACTTAGAGACAGTCTTGTATGTATAGTGTAATGCATTGATTAAAGACACCTTCACTCGTTGTGCTTCTGATTGATTGGAAACTGTCTCATCCATTTGGTGTGTCTCATTGATTAGAAACAGTGTCATTCTTATAGTGCATCTCATTCACAATCTCATAATGTGACCCATTATTAGAGAGTCTCAATCATAATGTGACCCATTGCTTAGGGACAGTCTCAATCATAATTTGACTCTCTGATTAGAGACAGTCTCCATCACAATGTGACTCATTGATTAGAGAAAGTCTCCATCACAGTGTGACTCGTTGACTAGAGACAGTCTCCCTCACAGTGTGACTCATTGATTAGAGACAGTCTCCCTCACAATGGGACTCTAGCCCTCTTACATTTCTGATCCATAGATGTGCCCCTTCTCGGTCTCTCCGCTCTGCCGGTGACCTTCTCCTGTCCGCTGCTCGCACCCGTACTGCTAACCTGTGCTTGCTGGACTTCTCGTGAGTGGCTTCCTTCCTTCGGAGCAGTCTGCCTACTCCCATCAGACTCTCTCCTAGTTTTCAATTGTTTAAAACGTCTCTGAAAACACATCTGTTCAGAAATGCTTATGGACTCCCAGAGTAACTTATCTATACTCATCCAAATCTGTCTCTTGCTCTCCAAAAGAGCCACAATCCACTCTCACCTCCAGCTTTGCTACTTTTCCACCTTGTTTGGTGGCTGTCACCCTTGCAGCCCTGTTGTGTACTTATACTCCACTTCCTCTAGACTGTAAGCTCGTTTGAGCAGGGACCTCCTCTACCTGTTGTTCCTGTGTCACTGTGTAATTGTTTCATGTATTGTAAATCCCCTCCACCCCCCCTTTTATAATATTGTAAAGCGCTGCGGCATTAGTTGGCGCTATATAAATGGCAATAATAATAAGAGACAGTCTCCCTCACAGTGTGACTCATTGATTAAAGGCAGTTTTATTCACAATGTGACTCATTGACTAGAGACAGTCTCACTCATATAGTAAGTATCATTGATCAGAGACAGTCTCATATTTATAGTGCATCTCATTTTATTGAGGCAGTTTCACTCTTACAGTACATATAATTCATTTTAGACAGTTATATAGTGTGTCTCATGAATTACAAACAGTAATAATCCATCTCATTCACAGTTGGCTGCTGTAGGACATGGGATTGTTCTATACAATATGGGATTGTGTCTTTCTAGGGCACACATTCAGGTTAGTTAAGAGATTTGAGGTTCATAGCACCCCAGTACCCTGTAGTGAATCTCATTCCACTTATCAAAGAGGAGTTTATTTGTTTACATAATCTATGTGTGGCTCATTTATGTCAATGCCCTCACTAGCTTAAACTCACTAATCTCAAAGTATATATTCATTGTGATGGCATTAGCGTGGTTGTCCTACTAAATATAACTCACAAGAGCTAGGTGTCAGTTTTATATAAGTAATACAAAACCAAAAGAGTTTGCTGTGAACTATCCCAAAACCACATGCACGTTTCATTTTATTGCAATGGCTGTTAAAGGAGTTTTAGTGTATATATCATGCCTCTCAGGTTTCACTGCTCAATTCATTGCCATTTAGGAGTTACATCACTTTGTTTCTGTTTATGCAGCCCTTGTCACACCTCCCCTGGCTCTGATTGACGAAGCCTGAATGAAAAAAAACTGGTTTCACTTTTAATCAGATGTATATTACCTTAAACAATTGTATCTCTTTCTCTGTAAATTGAACCTTAAACACATATAGGAGGCTCTTGCATGGTCTAGCAAGCTATTACCATAGCAGAGGATAAGAAAATCTAAATTAAACAGAACGTGCAATAAAGGAAGGATAAACTTTAGACGACT